TTCTGAGAGGAGAGAAGTGTCACTAATGAAGAAAGGTCAGGGCGGCCAGTAACAAGCAGAAATGAAGGAAACATTGCAGAAATTCATGAAATTGTATGTCAGAATCATTGGCTGACTGAGAAGCATAACAGACCAAGTAAACGATAGAGAAACAGGGAAATCTTAACTGAAAATCTTGGCATGAGAAAGGTGTGTGCAAAAATGGTCCCGAAGGAGCTCAATGATGAACAAAAGCAAAGGAGAGTCGAAGTTTGCCAAGACCTTTTGGAGAGTCAAGACGATGTTTTGGGCCCTGTTATCACTGGCAATGAAACAGGAGTGTACCAATTCAACCCTGAAACAAAGCATCAAAGTGCACAATGGAAGGCAGTCAATTCTCCATGACCAAAAATGTTCTGTCAGTCCAAATCAAGAGTCAAAATGATGTTACTCACCTTTTCTGATATCAGAGGGATTATTCATTATGAATTTGTACCAACTGGACAAACAGTTAACTAAGTTTACTATTTGGAAGTGCTGAAAAGGCTGCATGAATAAGTTAGACGACCTGCACTTTTTCACCAACAATTCATGACTCTTGCATCACAACAATGCACCAGCTCCCACAGCACTGTCTGTGAGGGAGTTTTTAGTCAGTAAACAAATAACTGTATTGGAACACCCTCCCTACTCACCTCATCTGGCCCCCAATGACTTCTTTCTTACCCGAAGATAAAGGAAATAGTGAAAGGAAGACATTTTGATGACATTCAGGACATTTAGGGTAATATGATGACAGCTCTGATTGCCATTCCAGAAAAAGAGCTCCAAATTGCTTTGAAGGGTGGACTAGGCACTGGCATCGGTGCATAGCTTCCTAAGGGGAGTACTTTGAAGGTGACCATAGTGATAGTCAGCAATGAGGTATGCAGCACTTTTTCTAGGATGAGTTCACGAACTTGACTGTCAGTCCTCGTATACATGTATGTGTTATGTATATATGTACACACATATATGAGATGTGTGTGTATGTGTGTGTGTACATATATATAAAAGATCTTTAAGGATTCTTCAGAACTTGGTCAGGATAGAACTGCTGTGGTGCTAAGGTACTTAGAGTGACACGTAAAAGGCCCTATCCAAAGGTGATGGTGATGAGATCAAACTTCAAATGATTTTTAATGTTGGAATCTATAAACAAAAGTTGAATGCACTGGGGGAGGCTAGGCTTTTTCTTACCTCAGGATATTCTCTTGCCTGCCTTGGATGCATTTGGAAACTGTTGTTATTAGGCTGAATTTAAAATGGGACAGAATGTTAGCATGGAAAAGATTCTTTTAACATCATCAATCTGACCACTTCATTTTATAGATGCTTAGAGAATGGCTCGCCCAACCTTGTGCATGTAGCTCTTGATAGAAATGTGATTAGAACTTTATTTCCAAACTGCTCTTTCCTCTACATAAGAGCTTAGGGCTTTGGTTTTTATTCTAGATATTAGCGTTGAATTTCTTTCTGCATATCTTTCAGTAGTTTTGAAGAAAAGGCCGTAAAAAATATCTGATCCCATTACAATGAATACTTTTTGGTATTACAATTTTTGGCATTAGTTATAAGAATAGGGTGAAACCAGGTGCGACTGGTTAGCTCAGTTGGTTAGAGTGTGGTGCTGATAACACCAAGGTTGCCGGTTCAATCCCCACATGGGCCACTGTGAACTGCACCCTCCCTAAAAGAATGAACTATGCCATTGTAGAATGAAAGCAATGTGTAACCAATGACCATGGCTTCACCCCAGTAAACAACAAAAAAAGAATAGGGTGAAACATGTTCCTACAACTTAGTTGAGGATGGATGGTCAGGACAATAAGATAAAGAACTCCATTGTTTTCCTTTCTAATATGGTGTACCAGGTTATTTACTTATTATAAAGAAAAGTGAGTATAAGATAACACAGCTAGGTGTGATCATGATTGAAACTTATGGCAGATAAAGATAGTATCTTGACTTCTCAGATCATGCCAGTCCTCATTAAATCAGGAAACAACATGCCATTGGGTATGACTACATGCGAAGAACTCCCAAAGTGAAGAAAATCAGACAACATAAGGCAGTTCATCGAGAATCACAAGGTCCTTGTTCTCCCTTTTGTTCCAGCCTTGTTCCAGATTGAGATATTGAAACTTACTCTCCAATGAAGTATGTATGATTTAGGAATCTTAAAATTCTCTAAGGCCCCTTTAAGTCCTTGGGATTTAGAACTTCAAAGTGTCTGGAAGAGCAGTATATGGGAGGAACTGGTCTTCATAGTCCCTGGAGAAGGACACTGCTGGAAATTGGGAAGAGGAAGAAATCTTAGCCTTTTTCTGGGCTCACTGGATCATAGGGATAAACAGGCTCAGTATAAAAATCACCTCATCTGGGAAAAATTTCTTTCCTAACTCCGTTATCTCCTGTTATAATAACTGTTTTTAAGTTCTCTTCCCATGGTTCTCAACCCTGGCTGCACATGAAAATCACCTAGTGAGAGTTTAAAAATATACTGATGTCTAAGCCCCATCCTCTGATTTATTTGATCTCAGACACAGGTATTGCTTCTGGTGGTTCTCATGTGCAACTGGGATAACAAATCAATACTTTATGTTCTCAGAGCACTTTCTTCATAACATGGCACTTATCCCATTGTCATATTATAAAAAGTCTCTCTCTGGGCACCCCACATTATATACGTTAAGTATAAAGACCATGTCTTAATCAACTTACATAAAATGTGGCATATAGTAGTTGCTCATTCATTCAACAGATTCTTACTGAGCAGTTACTGAGGATACATGAGTAGAATCTGGGGATACATCAGTAACAAGACAGACCTGTTTTTTTGTTTGTTTGTTTTTTTTACCTTGTGAAATTTATAATCTTATCCTTGAAGGCAAATATGTTGATCTGTATGTGTGAATCTGTATGGGATTACCTGATAGCTGGCCAAGAGGCATCTTAGCACAACAAATTGTTGAGTGCTACCTATGTTCCAGACATTGTGCTAGGTCCTGGCTGCATTAGGACAGATGAACCAGGCTGCAAGGGATCCTGGTGTGGGCATACTGCGTTATCTGCCCCTTGGATTGGCTCAGCCTGTGTTTCTTAAACCCTGTACATTTGTCAGAATTTCATTTCAATCCTACTTAACTTAAGCATGAATCTCAGATTTTTAAAATTGGGAAGGTTTCTACAAATTGCTAAAATACTTTATGGTTTCAATCCCTAATGCTACACTCTAGATGATAAATAGAATGAATAGGTATTTACCTATTGCTTCAATTTCCTTTATTCTAGTTTCATCCCAAGCTAGGACATGCTATCTTTTTCAGGTAATAATGAACTTGAAATTTATATCTGGATATTTTAATATGGTCTGCATCATCAATATTTCCTTCTAAAAAATATAAATATCTGTTATATAGGTAAAATAATTGTAAACTGTTTGCATTTCACTTTGTGAAGTACTTTCATTAATGTAAGGAACATCATTTGATTTGATCCTTGCAACAAGTTTGAGATGTAAGATGGGTACTAAAGCACCTCTCTTGATTTTACAGGGGAGGAAACCTAGGCTTCGGTTAAGACCCAAGCTCACCCTGCAGGAGAGTGGCAGAGGGGGTAAGTGTATGTTCATTCTACCATTCCATACTGCCATTCTTAACATTATGAATGCAAGTATGTATCCATATGTGCCACAGAAATACAGAAATACTAAGTTTTGTCACAGGACTTGAAATGCCAAAACAAATCCAGCATATTAATGTATAAATAACATGATGGATATTTTAACAGCTTATTAATTTACATCAACTAGACAAAGATGTGCATACATTTGTGAGAAGTTTGAACTATACAATCTTTAAAAAGGATGCAACTTTACCTCTTTCAAGTATATAGAGGTGGACCTACAATAATTAAAAATTCTTTTTAGAAGTCCTTAGAGTGCTAACTTTGATTAATACATAAGATTGTATTGTAATTATACTCTCAATTATTTTTATGTAAATGGGTGCTCCTAAATGCTTGAGGATACTAAAAACAATGTATTCTCTTAAACAGTTTATGTACTCTCCCTGTAATCTTTATTTACATTAGTAATTTCTTCAGCAAGTCTTTTCTCCATTGATATGGTAAAGGCAAACTTCTCAGCCAGACCTCTGTTAGAGCAGAAATTCTGATTTAAGAGAGTCTGAATTAATGAGGTTTTACTTTATTTGCAACTTAATAGCTTTTGCACCATATATCTGCTTTTACATATACATATAACCTTATTAATATATATGTTTTTATACATTTAAAAGTATTTTGCAGAGCTACCGACTTGATTTATCAATGAACCTGAGATGTTTCAAATTATTTAATAGCTTCTTAGCCTTAGTCCATCTGTAGCAGTGGAGGAAAAATTCTGTTTCCTTAAGTCCTTTTATGAGGGTGCCAAAAGGTATAAAAATATGAAGCCATTTAATAGCCAGGCTCTTTGAAAGTACCAAGCACACACAGTGTGCATGTTAAGTTTAATCACACTGATGGATTTACATGTAATGTCTCAATTCCAGACTCCCTCATTAGTGCAGTCAATTTTGAAGTTCTCCCCGGTGAGTGAGGGGTGAAGGTGACTTTGACACCGATGAGAGGACGGCTGGATATTGCCAACACCCAGAAAAAGACAGTGGGAAAAAGCTCTACCATATGAGGCTATAATCCTAGCTGTGGTCAATGTGTTGAAAGCTTTATATTTCCTGACCACAGGATCTTTCTATAAAATGAACAGGGAGGGGGGATATTCCCTGGATTAGCCAGCTGGCTATTTCTATATGCTTATTAAAATTTCTGGAAGAAATGGTAGTGCCTCTAAACCCTTTTTAAATATATCCGCTTGAGAAATCATAAGCTTTCCTTGTACCGGAATTATTTAGTGCAAGAGGGCTGGATAAAATATTTTCAAACTTAAATTTTGACAGTTGCAGCAAAGAAATGGGGATATGGAAAATGGTGGTAAAAACAGCAGTAGTAGCAGAAGCAAGGAGAGAATCCAGATGTCACCTCGTAGGAAATCTTTTTCTCCTCTAAGGACCCGCAGGTCAGGCTTTTAAATTTTGGACAAAACACAGTTTCATTCCATCCCATGCAGGGTGCAGGGACAGCCTCATCTTTTGGAGGCTGCATTGGGAACCTGCTGCCTCTTTTGTGTTCAGTATCCACGTGCTATTCCCCTAGCTGGCTGAGCGAATCCCTGAACAATAGTGGCATTAAAGAAAGCAAAGCACAGGCGATGCATTTGGCTCTTTGTTTAGCGAAGAAAAACAAGCAACTTAACACTTGAAATTTATCAAAAGACAGTGGGTCATCAGGTGTACAATAGCAACAGCATTAAAGTTGGGTTCCTTATATAGGAAATCCTCCGTGTTTAGTCAGACTGCCAGACCCAGGGGTATTCTGTGTTGCAGCGCTGCTCTTCTTTTGTTTTGGGGGGTGGAATTTAATAAGTGAAGACAAGACAAGCTCTTTCTTCCTCAATTTCTCTTTCTCTCTAATATATTATATGAAATATATAGTATATGTTACATAACATGTAACATATAACATAACATGTAATATGTATATATATATGTATATACATATATAATCTATATAGAGAGATAGACAGAATAAGCATAGGTACATAAAATACTCTTCTTCATTTTTTTCTTCCTTTTCTCTGAAGTAACCAAATCTTTAAATAGATCATTGACCTAACTAAATTTTCATTTTCAGAGGTAGGGCTCCTAGGATATACTGAAGTCTGACAATTAAGTTCGTGAACTTGTTGCAACGATGTTGCTAACCGTTTTTGATATCAGAGGGATTATTCATTATGAATTTGTACCAACTAGACAAACAGTTAACTAGATTTACTATTTGGAAGTGCTGAAGTGAAGTTAGACGACCTGAACTTTTCGCCAACAATTCATGGCTCTTGTATCACGACAATGCACTAGCTCACACAACACTGTCTGTGAGGGAGTTTTTAGCCAGTAAACAAATAACTGTATTGGAACACCCTCTCTACTCACCTGATCTGGCCCCCAATGACTTCTTTTTTTTACCCAAAGATAGAGGAAATATTGAAAGGAAGACATTTTGATGACACTCAGGACATCAAGGGTAATATGATGACAGTTCTGATGGCTATTCCAGAAAAGGAATTCCAAAATTTCTTTGAAGGGTGGACTAGGCACTGGTGTCAGTGAATAGCTTCCCAAGGGAGGTACTTGGAAGGTGACCCTAGCAATATTTAGCAATGAGGTACATAGCACTTTTTCTAGGACAAGTTCTCTAACTTAATCATCAGATGTACATAGAGAAAACCTAATATACTTTTAGTAACTTGAATTTACCATTCCAGTTGAGACACTGTATCTTTTTCTTTCAATTGGTGTCTTCAGAACCAGTGCACACACATGCATATTAGTTTGAGCCTTAAGCAAACTCAAGGAATATAAGGAAAACCATAGTTTATATTTGTTTAGCTTTTTACAGTTTATAGCGTGCCTTTACATATTTTGCTTCATTTAATCCCCCACATCAAGTTCTCTGAAATACTGTGGATGGCATAGACTTGGTTGAATAATGGGAGGTTGGGGAAAGTTAATAGGCTTGTCTAGTGACAAGCAATGAAGAGCTTTTCAGCTGATTCTCTGGAAGTCTTTTAATCGGCAGTGAACAACCTGCCATATCATAGTAAATGAAAATAGAAAATACATACTTATCAATTTGCAACTATTTAGGTGAATAATGAAAGAATGAATTAAATAATATTTAAACTGTGTGTGTGTGTGTGTGTGTGTGTGTGTGTGTGTGTTTCCAATCATTTACTACCTAAGGAGGGGTTTTATGTCCAGGTCAAGGGTAATGGTATAAGAGAAAGAGAGGGTGCTGATTTTTGAGAAGTATCACTGTTTTCTGGCATCTAACCATCAGGACTTTGGAGCACAGGAATACAAGAGTAGATTAAATGATTGTCCAAAGAAGGAAGGAATGAAGGAATATGAGTATGCGGATGGAAAGGAAAGCAAGACAGAAAGACAGAAAGAAGAAATAAAGGCAAGAATGATTAAACAATGAGCAGGTGAGTGAAATGGCAAGTAATACCACTGTTCTTTGTCACTGAAAGCCTGATAGGTAGGACCTTAAAATATTATGTTTAAATTAGAGTCAGCCAGACATTTAATAAGACTGAAACATAAAAAGTATTCCTTCCCTCTAAAGAGCACTTCTACTTGAGTGTTGATGCCAGAAATTTCCTTGACATCAGGCAAAAATTTTCCATTTTTTAATTATTAAGTAAAGACTTTAAAACACAAATATACAGGTAAAATAGTACATAATATAAATGACTTCCAGTCAAAGCATAAAGAATGATTTCAGCTTATTTCCTCTTTAATTAATAGAAGAAGTATTTACAATAAAACATTCTTTTTGCCTCGGACAGTGGGATGGAGTTGCTGTTGAATCCCAAGATCTTAACCAGTTCCATATGGCCCTACTGGAACACCTTGAGAAGAAGTCACTTGTGTTGTCAGTATGTACTTTGACACCTTACAAAAATGAATAAGCTGAATTTGATCACAAGGAAACATCATAAAAACCCAATTTAGAGACATTATACAAAACAAGTGATCTGTTTGTATGCTTCAAAAATATCAGTGTTGTGAAATATAAAGAATGGCCAAGGAGCTGTTTTAGATTAAAGAAGACTAAAGAGACATGCAACCAAATGAAATTTATGATGGTGTATTAGAACCTGGATCAAAGAAAAAATTGCTATAAGGATTTATTGGGGGAAATTGGTAAAATTTAAATGTGGTCAATATATTAGAAAATAGTATTGCATTGAAGTTAAGTTTTGTGATTTGGTAATTGTACTAAGATAAAGGGGTGTGGTGTGTGCAACTTATTCTCAAGTAGTTCAGGAGAGAGAGAGGGAGAGAGGAAGGAAGGAGGTGAACTAATGTGATAAAGTCGAGAATCTGTGTGTGTGTGTGTGTGTGTGTGTATTTTCACAGAAGTTGTTTTGTTCTTGCAATACTTGTGTAAGTTTGATAATATTTCCACATGAAAAGGTTTTAAAAAGTGGAGAAATCATTTTCTCCTGCGGAAGGGAGAAAAATTGAATTATACATTTGGGCTATGTTTCTACAATGGATAATGTAGTGGTTTTCACTGGTGAATTAGAGTAATAGGCTTAGATAAAGTCATATTTCTTTGTATAAAATGCAAAATGCTAGTCATTATTGAAGGCTCAGTTTGGTCAAACATCGTAGCTCACACAGTTGTAATATATGAGGTAATATTATGTCCTTGGATTAAAGGTACAATGCAAGATGTAGCCACACAAGGCTAGGCCTAGGTCATCCATCATTTTGTTTAACATGCTTACCTGCACATAAAGATCTTGTTTGAAAACCTAATTTGGGACATTTTGGTAGAGTTTCCTCTCCTTAAAAATGGTCACTTGAAGTTGTTGGAAATATTCATGAAGATTCTTTATAAAGAAAAAAAATGAACAAGTAAATGCTTATGATAGAATGAAATAGATGTGTTTACTAAATGGTTAAATTAAGCACAGCTATAGAAAAAACAAACTCTAAGTAATATTTGGAAAGAATAATATTGTAGTTCTATGTTCTCTCTCTGATCTAACCAAATCCATGGGAAGCAACAGACATGCCTAGGAAAACATCTCTGCCCAGGTTCAGGTCTGGCAACTGGTTTTTCCAATTATCACCTGGTGTCCTGCTGCTCCATGTCCCATATGAATGCATTCCATCTTACAGTGGCCCATACAGGGCTGGTCACTTATTTGTGTCAGGGCTGATACACGAATTATGGAGAATTATTACTCTATCTGCCACAACAGAGTTGACACTTTCAAGTGCAAACTCCTCATGTACTGATTTTCGTGGCTTTAGCTATTAGCTTCCCATCTCCTACTATATGGATTCATGTTAATGCTAGAAATACGATTAGCCTCCCATTTGGTACTTGTTTATTATTCTATAGCTGCCTAGAAGTCCATATCTTTCCTTTGCAGTAGCAGTTGGAAAGGATATGAAGATTCTTGTGGATTCCAGGGGTGGGAAATAGAACAAAGTTCAGGCTGAGCACTAGTTAAAAAACCATCGCCCCACTACTCAGGAGTCATTTACTTTATTGTTACTTCCTGTGTTTTGCTATCAGCGACCCCCATGACATCAGCAGCCCTTGGTTAAAAGCTGTTCACTGGCTGCTTTTGCTGTTTAACTGTTTCATGCCCACTTAAATATGTCACATATATGCCTCCCAGTGATTAAAGTGGGTTTTTCCATGACAGATCCTAGATCCAAACTACAATTTTTAAAGGAGTGAATGTTTTTCAAACCAGCAGGTTTAGGATTGGGCTATAGGGGAAAAAGTTACCAATGCCCAGAATCTGTGGGACTCCCCTGAAATTCTTTAGTGTCGGATTTCCACCATAACACAGACACCACTGTATAGCACAACGACAGTGGGAATTTTGGGACTGGAGTGGGGAGGATGTGGGGGTCTTCTGCCTGTGTATAAGCCTGCTGACCCTGCATTGTTCTCAGAGAACCAGAGGTTGTACAATTATCTAAGCCTCCACCAGAAAATGATTTCTGCCATATCTGAGTTAGCTCGGTCCTAGCATCCGTCAGAACACAGCCACTAGCAGGAACTGTCACAAGTGTGGGGGCAGCAACACTAGGTAAGAGAGATTCTCCCTTCAGCAGTAGCAGTTCCTTGGGGTCTCTATGAACATAGCCTCCTCTCAGGCTGGCTTACAGTTTGCCATGGTGTTTACAGATTGTCCTGAAAATGAGATGTCATGTGAGGGGAATCCCGGGCTGCAGCTTTTGCAATGAATTCAATATGAAAAATTCAAGTGATGTGGGATCTTTGTACAAGTCAAAAACCTGTGCAGAGCTGTAGATGAAAGGAAGTTGGTGCTGTAAATTATGTTATCATGGATGGGGAACATTTATATCAATCATTAGGGCTGGAGGATGAATTTATATGAGGTAATTGATGAGTCGCATTAAAAAAAAAAAGCTACTGTAGATAATAGGTGAGTAGAGAATAATACCCCTGGTGTTTGGGCCTGAAGCTGTTCTCTGGGTCACAGTAGCTCACAGTCAGGAAATTATTTTTAACTGTGTGTGTTAGAAAATGCTCAGCACCTTTTCCTCTAGACATCCCTGAACCATCCTAAGTCATTACAGGTGCGAAAGCCATGTAAGGATTTTAAAGTCCTACTTACAGATGCCAGAAGAGAAGGCCTGTGTGGTCTGTTTTATGGCCAGCACAGTAAAAATTAGTGGGCCCTATTTATTCATTACTGATCTGGTGGCAGAGATGTATCTTCATTCTTCGTGTGCTTTAAGTGCTGCTACTATTATTTGTTGGGAAGTTTTCCCTTTTTTTCCTGTTAAATCTTTATTCCAGGAGTTGTGTTTATTTGGCACTAAGTTAAAAGGAGAGGATGTTGTTAAAAGACGGAGCACTTTATTGTTTCTGTTAACACAGCATCACAGTGCCTACTGCTACTAAAATCCAGTTGACTCACTCTCTGAAGTCCGTCATCAAAGGGTAATTTGGAAACTATTAGAAGTCACAGATACCATTTTTGAATTGAAAAACCCATGTTGTGATAAAATGGTTGAAATTTTATACAACATATTTCGTTTCTCTAGGTTTTGGTAATGTGATAATAGCAATATTGCATTTTAATTTTATTAGTTTCCTATGGTAGTCATAGAATACCCTAGAGTTTCTGTCCTAGAGGTACAAATGCATTTAAAAAAAAAAAAAGAAAAACTTCTATCGATAAAGAGTTCTGTCCACGCTAACACATACAAACAAGAGCATTTCAAAATGGGAGCAGACGATGCACAGTCTCTGAAGTATCAGGAGATTGGGGTGGCTGATCAGGATATTCCTGGATTGAAGTACAGAGCACCAACAGGAATGTAATGAAATCCAAAGAAATATTAAACAGTACATTCTCTTCCTGAAGAGTGATAATTTAATTGCTGAGATTTCCCCCTTTCTCCAAAGAACTCAAATGCCTAATAAGGTTAAGTTCCTTGGAGGTACTTGAAACTTCATATTTTATAGGCGTGATTGAATGAGTACTCCCTGTTATGCACTGAATGTTTGTGTCCCTGAAAATCCCTATGTCGAAACTCTACCCTCCGTAGGATATTATTAGGAGGTGGAGTCTTTGGGAGGTAATTAGGATTAGATGGGGTCCTGTGGGCAGAACCGTTATGAATGAGGTTAGTGTCCTTATAAGAATTATGAGAAGGTTTTCATCCCCTGTCTCCTCTCTGCCATGTGAGGGTACAAGGAGAAGTTGACCGTCTGCAACCTGGAAGAGAGCTCTCACCAGAACTCAATTATGCTGGCACCCTGATCTTGGACTTCCAGCCTCCAGAATTGTAAGAAATAAATTTCTGTTGGTAATAAGTCACACAGTCCATGATATTTTTATTATAAAATGCTGAGCTAAGATACTCCCTGAAATAACCCCTTTTACTTTTAAACCTGGAGTCCAAATTGATGTTTCCTTCTAGTTTGGGAAAATTTAGACCTATGACATTATATCTCACCAGCCCCTACTTAACTTTCCTGTGCATTTAAGGGGTTCAAAGAGCCCACTTCTATATTGGCCTATTTGACCTCAGTTTGACCTGAGTTTCGCATGTCCTAGAAATACTGGAATTTAAAGCTGGTACTGTTTTTAAGGGTAATTGAGAGGTGAATACTGTGGTTTGTTGGCTTCCCCCTCTTGTCACAGACATTCTGGAGGTAGGGAACAATGGCCACTCAATGTGCCCTGGGGAACTGGATAGAGAACCATTTTATGACTATCCAGGGAAAAGGCTATTTTTGACTTAAGTTTGGGTGCATCGAGATTGATTTGGTTGCCATCCATTTTCTTTTTGTTGCAAAGGCTTTTCATGGTAGTGCTGTAACTTGTTTTTTTGAAGAAAAGTTTCTCTTTCATTTAGCCATCCACATTTTGGGTTTTGTTCCTGGTTGATCCGAAATGGTTCCCCCAAATTGGGCTCCTCTAAAGCTTGATGTCAGAGTTGCTGGACTCATGGCTACTCCAAAGACTTTCGTGGCCCTGTGTTTGCCCCTTCCTATCTGTTCTGATGTTCAAACATTGAAGGGATATTTAAATGTTCTTGAATATAAGACTTCATTTTTGTTGCTCACCAAGGAAATCTTGTGTAGGAATTCAATTTATGAAACAGTGAAAACTAGATACTGTTATGGTCCAACATGTAGTTTCACTTCCTTAATATGATAATTTTATATGATAGACTAAGCCTTATGATTATATCAACATTTCGTTATCAAGAAGATGCGACCGGTACCTTTTTGTCAGTGATAACTTCTCCAAGGGGACATTTCTCTCACAAAGGATCTCTTTCCTCCCTCTCCAGAAGAGAAGAGGAGACACAAGAAGAGCTGCCTGGTGCAGAGCCCCAGTTCCTACTTCATGGGTGTGAAATGCCCAGGATGCTATAAAATCACCACTGCCTGTAGCCACGCACAAAGGGCAGTCTTCCGTGTTAGCAGCTCCACCGTCCTCTGCCAGCCTACAGGAGGAAAAGCGAGGCTTCCAGAAGGTTGCGGCTTCAGAGGGAAGCAGCACTAAGAGATCCCGAATCAAGATGTGTAGGAAGCCATCCCAATAAACACGGTTTGGGTAAAAATGAAAATGGGACCACAACATTTACATTTTAGTGACACTACAGTTGTTTTAGTGGGTATCTGAAAGAACATTGACATGTGAATACTAGGTATAATTAACTCTTGGGGAAAACAAATCACTGTGTTAAACCTCTAAGCTATGAAAATAATGAAATAGCGTATTAGTGATTATTTTTATCAGTATGAGAAGAAACTAGATCAGTGGTCAAGGTACTTGGGCACCAGCGCTGGCTCTGTGACCCTTGTACAGCTCTCCTAACCTCCTTGGGCCTTAGTTTGTTCACCTGTAAAACGAGAGGGCTCGGGTAGACCAGTTGGACTTTATGATGCTTTCAGCTCTGTAACTCCATGCCTTACAAAAGCATTGTAAGAAATAATCATCTGACCTTCTTTATTTTATTTTTAAAATTCTTCTATTGGGTATATACCCAGATGACAGGTGGGGGCTCTGTTCAAGTAAACTTATTAATGAAAATATTACTGAGTTTGTTCAGAAGATCTACAGATATGCTAATTGGCAGCTGCTCCATTCTTCTCAGGGAGCGATTCCAAGTGAAATATTTGGAATTGGGTTTGAAATGTCTTTCTTATTCCTGCCTGGGGGATTTATGTAAAAGAATAAAAATTTACCCTAAGTCAGAAGATCCTCTGGTCTGATGCCCCTCTTCTAGGACTTTATGAGCAGGAGGGTAGGTTATGGCAGTTTTTCATTTTCTATGAGAATGTCAGAGCTTGGAACAATAATGGAGTCTGGAATTGCTCTTCATAAAAGTGTATGAAATTATCAGCAGAATGGACGGGAAATGCAGCAGGTGAGATCAGAGATATAAAAATAATTTTCCTATTACAAAGTAGTTTTCTTTCTTTAAATGGCATGCAAGGCTAATCCACCCTGATATCCATGCTGGGCATTTATCTGGTAATATATTTCTGTGCAAATAACTTCATCCTGTATTATGATGATGATGATGATGATAAATTCTACTCTATCAGGAGCTTTCCAAAGTGTTGTAACACCCTTAGCCAAGTTGCTTCTGCCGATGACACAGGTGACTGTGCACACAATTTAGAACTCCAGACCATGTGTGAGGCATTCCAGGAAACATAACATCCAAAAGCTAATAAAAATCATGAACTTTAGAGGGTGTTATCACTTTGTGACGGTGTTAATGTCTAACTATTACATTGTTTTGTATACCGGAAATTAATAAAAAGAAAATGAACTTTCAAGTCTTGACTAAGTTTGCAAGAGAAATGGGGATAAGGCAACTCAAGTATCCCAGGACAAGCCAACCACAGTGCCTGTGAGGTACTGGCATCCATGTCACCCTAAGAACGTAAGTTGAATAATAATTTTGTAGAATTTAAAGCCACAGAAGATGCCTGGGGTCAATATTCAATGCAGAAAAAAAAAGATACTGTGCTTAAAATTCTGGTATAGAAACTTGAAGACTTTGTAAGATTCCCAAGGCTTTCTCTAGGTAGAAAAACATTCTGCTGAGCACATGCATGACACATTATGTATGCAGACATTCTAGGGGTTTATGGTTGGTGGTAGAGGGGGTAATTATGGACTGCTGTTCAGAGAAAAGGCAAGAGGGAAGACAGAATTGCATTTTAATGTCACAAATATTTCAAAGACAAGCTGAGACAGTTTTAGAAAGGGAAGAAGCTGAGTAGGAAGATGCAGAGCTGTCGCCAAAGAGATGTGCTCAGAGCAGAGAGCCCTCCAGATCATTCTCTGGAGAGCGGCCTCAGACTTAGAAAGAATCATTGAAGACCTGGAGCCTG